AGGAAGTGTGCGAATTTGCCCTCTGCGATTATGTCATCGCGGTAGGGTCGCCTTTTTCCTTAGCGCTTAGAACGGCGCGAATTAGTCTTCGCGCTTATGTCTCCGCGGATAAGGGCTTCGCTGATTTGTGGTGGAACCCTAAAATAGCAAACTACTGTTCTATTGCCCTGACAATGTTGCATGTCTGTCTCACACTTCCTTCACCCTATTGCATTTTATCACTTTTCCTACCTTTTGGAATCAGCTGACTCCCGTTTCAGAACTAAACTTATGGAACATTTGCAAGAGAGACATTGCAAGATGGTTTATCTTTGAATGAACGTATTTAAGAAGCCCTTGAATGAATACCATTCAAACCATCTAAAAGCACGATAGTCATAGTGGGTGGATGTAATTTTAGTCATTGTCCTCTTGCTTGTAACACATCAATTTATTATAGGCCATAACTGAGTTATGTCCTTTGACACTCAGCAGTTGCTGGAATTTTTTCTTAAGGACCTCTTTGCTTCTCTACAATAAATTTCTTAACTGAGTTCCTAAACTCTTGTGTGCTTGTTCAGTTGGTTTCAATTCAATCTTGCCATGGAGAAGCTGTATCTTTGAAGATGCTAGGGATGTGCTGCAGAGCTTCCCCAGGTGATCCACCTGGTTGGAAAGGATTGTATGGAAATGAATCCTCTTTTTCCCCAACTGTGGGCATATGAAGGAGTCCCGAATACTCACTGATCTGTATGGTGATCGGGGCGCTCCTTACTCCGATGCCAGCACTAGTGGTAGCCGCAACCTCCGTGCGGTAGATCATGCCAGGGATTAGCCCCATCAAAACTGTGGAACGCATTGTGCCATCCACTGTCTTATTAATGTGATAGCGAGTCTCGTTTCCCAGACACCAAACCTGTCCAGGAGAAGGAGAAGACCATAGTAACTAATGGCTGAAGACAACATTACCCTGCAAAAAGAACTAGCTGCACATCACTGGATTGCAGTATCTACCAGAGTAAAGAATGGATGCATTGGCCAGGCAGTTGGACAAGCCAATCTACAATATGTAACCCAACTCTATGATAATATTCCCTAGCTTCTATGACCATCAGAAGTCCAAAGGACTTCAGATCCATTCTTTTGGGGGTGTCCCTCATTGCAAAAGTTGTCAAGGAACCAGAGGTGGGTTCCTACNTTGGTTGCTAAGCAAGAACGTTGTTAAGTGAGTTTCACCACATTTTACAAGTTGGTTATGCCCACCCAGTCACATGGCTGGCAAGCCACTCCCACACCTACAGAAGAGGTTTTAAATTTTTTTGAAACCCATCACTGCTAGAACGGCGACTGTTTGTGATGTCAGTTCCTTTGCAGCTTCCTCTGGAAAACCAGCCCTCCAGTGGACCAATGGGAAAGCGCCTCGTGGATTTGGGGCAAAGTGCCAGGATCGTAGACAGGGTGGGAAAGAGGAGCGCATCGGAGGGGAAAGGGAGAGGGCAGGGATGATGGGCAAGGGAGTAGGGGAAAGAAAGCCCCAGCTCAATGGCTCCCTGTCAGACAAATGCTTCGAGGTCTATAAATACCCGGGCAATGCCGGGTTATCAGCTAATATCAGATAAAAAGGGAGGGAAGAACTTTGTCTTTTCAGAACATGCTTGTGATGTTTATTGCTCCTTAGAAATGCCTTGATTAGCAGGACTTAGTTGACCAAAGGCATTTAAGTGATCAATCCAAATCAATTCACTGATTAAATGTTGCAGTAGCTGTAACTTCTAAGATTTTGCCCCAATCAAGCAGAAACGTAAAGCTTATGGGAGAATCCTTCCAATTAGCCCCAGGCCTCCGCACTCACCTGCTGCTGCCGACACGCGCTGGTCCATCCGTATGGGGGAAAGAAACTGCAAAGGAGAACAGAGCAGACACTCAGGGATGCTCCTTTCGAGAACAAAAGAAGGGGAGAATTGATGGTATGGAGGACAAAGCAACACAATGGGAAGGGGGCACAAAGCCTTACCTGCTGGCGTGTAGGCAAAGGAAGCTGAAAAGAGAAGCAAGCAGAGAGTGAGGCAGCTCAAAGAAGGTCATCGCTGGGGTCAGCATGGATGGGCAGGGAGTCTAAGTTAAAATGATGGGGCACAGCAGGTGCATTGCATGCAAAATGACATGTGTTCCAAACCCCAATGAAAGGGAACCCACCAAAGGCGAGAAGGAAACCCCAAAATGGGCGTGGTGTCCCAGTTACATTTTCCTCCAGTACTCAGATCTCTACTTGGCCCATTAACACGGTATAGAACAAAAGGGGAAGCTGGAGGCAAGAGGAAGGAAGTCTTCCTTCCCCTTCCCCAACAAGGGAAGAGGTTTAGGAGGGGTGGTCCAGCCTCCAGGGTAGGATCCAACTTCATCTTTGGTGCAAGTGAGTCCATTGGAGCTCTCCATGGTGCTGAGATGCCCCATTCTGCTTAGTAGGCTTCTAGTCAAAGACAGGCCAAAGGACCTAGTATAAGACAGCCCACCTACCCCCTCCTTTAAGAACGCTAGAGTGGGGAGCTGGGAGTAAAGATGAGTTTATCTTGCCTGTATAGTGGCTCATCTCCTTTCTCTTCTTTCGGCGACAATAGATCCACACGCTGAAGCACATGAGAATGACCCAGCAGGCTCCTCCGATGCCAGCAATGAAAGCCGGTTGTTTCACGACACCTGTGATCTGCTCAGCAAGGCTCACACTATCCCCATTGTCCACAGGGACAGTGTCCTGGTCTGGCAGGGGTTCTGCAGCAAACATGGACGGCAAAGGCATTTGGAGTCAGAAGAGGTACAAGGCTTGAGCACGGTCAGTTATGAGATGAGGACAGTAACCAGGTTGAGGATTGCAGTTTTCCTTTAGCATATCAAGGAAAGAGCCTTGTTTCTTATTCATTTTCTTTCTGGTAGGAACAGGGCTTGCATGGAAGAACACTCAATCATATGAGTCTCTACTTTCACTGTTCTAAAATAACGTGGCATGACAAAACCACGCTCGTCAAAATCGTGGTGATAAAATCGCAGCGCTAAAGCCGTGACGTCATCACCACGCGTCATCACCACCACGACAACAGCGCAGCAACAGAAGGGCGCTTTAAAACGGTGCCGCAGCAGAAAGCCAACTTCAATTAAGGTAAGCGTTAGGATTAGGTTTAGGGGTTTGTTTTAGGGTTAGGTTTAGGGTTAGGGTTAGGTTTAGGTTTAGGGTTAGGGTTAGGGTTAGGGTTAGGG